AAGTTTTGAGTGTGCATGAGGTCTGATTAGGCTCAATTAACCTGTAAAACTGAAGTGGGAAGCAATGACACAGCACTGGCTTCCTGGACAATGAAGGAGTTTCCCACCAGGTCTATTGGCAGAGCAATGGGAAAATTTCACAAAGAATTGAGTTTGATAAATTCCTTTTCTCCAAACCAAACTATTCTTTAAGATAGCAGCTATATCTATTCAAAGAAAACTAGTATATTTCTTAATGTATAAGAGAAAGGGAACAAAACCACAGGCTGGGTAGTGTTTCTGTTACAGTTCTGTGAAATAAGTTATTCTGCACAGCTAATAATAGCCCAAGAATCCAAGTCATACCTGGGAGAAAAAGCTGTACAGGAACTAGCCTAAATGAAAGGAAACAAAGGGCACTTTGATTTTTATGTAATTGTTTAACAAGAGACAGAAGTTTAAAGTAATAACCCTTGCTGAGTTCTGAATCTTACCATGTCCACTTGTTTTACTTGTTTATATTCAACCTCATCTCTGTATCCAGCTAGCTGAAATCTGTATAAGTTCTCTACATCATCTGACCATTTTTGGGCATAATGTACAGATTTTGGTTTGATGTCACCTTTAGCCATGACTTCAGAAACTTCAGACTTTTTCCTGAAATTAATTTTAAAAAACGAAATAGAGACAACAGAAGCAAGTGATTTTGTTAAGCACATCTTGAAATGGGTAGAACTAAATTGAAAAATAAAGGAATTACAGACAGTAGCATATTAGCTTTCCATCAAAGTCTGAAGCTGAAAAATATTATAAGCAGTTGGAATCAAATTAAATGCACTACTTGATCTCAAACAAACCCAACTCACCTATGCTTCTGTATCTAGGAAACTATTAAAATTGGATTTTTCCCACCTTGACTTAACAGTGCTCCCTAAAATTTATGTGTGCATGTTGGCTCATTACAAAATAAATTAAAGTACAGTAGTCATTTTAATTTCACATCTGCGCAGTTACTGCCCCCTTGGAACAGGTGGCTTGTCAGATTTTTCTTTCTACTGAAGGAACAACCAAACTGGAGACCACAAAATGAAGAGCTGGGCTGTTACTGAAGGGCAGCAAACACTCAGGGTGGGAGAGAAGGGTAAAGGAGAAATGGACTGACCATCATATGGCCACAGTGGAGGTGACAAAGAAGAGGTCTGAAGAATTAAAGTGGATGGGATAAAGGAGCAGGGCACACAAGCTGCCAAAATTCATCCTATTCTACCCTTGCCCCATCAAAATCTGCACTGACTGCCACTGACTTCCTCCTCACGCAGAACCCATTTGTTCAATCTGCTGAGAAACTAAACAGGTTAATTGACTGCTAACACCTGAACAGAGCAAAACTAGGACAAGAAGAAACTCAAACTGAAAAGGAAAAAAATATAATAAAATAAACAATTAAAAAAATTGCAAAGCCGGAGAAACTCACCAGGGATGGATTTGAGCTATATTTAAAAAAAAATTAAAAAAAATTAATCATTTCACTTCTACCTTATTTCTGAATTTCACTGCATTTGCTTTCTTGAGTGTATCTTCATGTGCTACTAATACAGAATTTTATGTTGCTTCTGCAAGCAAAACACACAGAACACTATCCTGTCTAGAAGATATGGTCAGAAATTAGTCCTTTCCTAGTTTTGTAATGTCACCAAGCTTCAGCTTCAGCTTCATCATTAGGAAGGTGTCTTCAAAGGAGAAAAAGCTTCTGGATTTTGTAGTGAGAGGATGAACACAATCTCAGCCCCTGTGGGTAGTAACTGCCTCCAAATCCAGCACACAGACCAAAATTTCCTTTCTTACTAAGTTCCTGTATCAACTGAGAGCTTGAAAAGTTGAAGGTTTATGTCTTAACAAATGCACAAATTCCCTCAGTCTGTTAGAAAGGCAAAAAAGGAAAAAACATCTCAACCACAGCATACAAATCTGTAGGAAAAATATATCAAGAATTATTGTTTTGCTAATGCAGAAATAGCAGAAGCGTGCATCTCCCTCATCTAACTATATGAGAGCCATTAGCACACAAAGAAAGGGCCTTTCATCTCTTACTGCATACACTTTATTAAGGATCAATAAAAATATGGTTAAGGGCTATTTTCTGGCAATGCTAAACCATTTCTTGCAGTTCAGCACTCCAAACATGCTCTTACCGTGCAGCATTTTGGAACTGAAGACAGCCATTTACTAATAAAAAAGTAATTTCCCCACTCAGTTATAAGGTGTCACATACAAAGTAAGGTAACTATGCAACCTTATTCTAAAGCTTTAGTGTATTCTTTTGGATCTCTATCTCAACATTTTTTTTTCCTCCCTTGATGCAAATGGCTCCTTTGTAGCCACTACAGAATTTTTCACACCCTGAATATGCTCATGGATGTTGTATATCTGGGACTTTATACAGTCAATATTATTAGCAATAACATTAGATCTTAATAAATGCTAAACTAAAATTAAGTGATTTATTATAACTTATATGTTACAAGTCTTAAGTACTTCTTTACAGGTTGCACTGAATTAATCTAATGAAGGTGCTTCTTCAAGACATCTAAGTATGCGTGGCACTTCCTGAGTAATCATTAATTCAGATGTCCTGCTCAAAAAAAATGCATCACAAGGTCATACATCTGAAGTACCAGCTTGGTGACTTCATATAACAAAAGCGTCATCCTGATATTTTTAGGCTGCTATTTAAGCCCTTTAAAAATTGTTCTCTTTGTCTATTGTGTCTTTCAGTTCCAGGCATAGAGCTGGTTTCATTGTACAAAAGCACGAGATGAGCTGTACTGCAGCCAGCTGCAATTCAGGGAAGAGATAAAAGACAGAAGAGAGATACAGGCAAAAGAAGAAACATGAGAGAATAATGGTAAGAAAATATTCAGCCTAATACTAACACTTTTCATAGGAAGGGAATTGTTGAACAGTGAAATGGGCTTTGCTAAGACAGCAACATTTGCCTGCTCTTAAATTAGTGGAAATGGTGAGATTTCATATACCTCTGTTTCGGCTTTAGAAAAACAGTTTTTAAACATCAATCATTGCACAATTTTTATGGAATCCTAACTAGCCTGGGCTTGCATAGCTAACTAGCCTGGGCTTGCATAGGAGTTCCCTTAATGCTTATACAGGCTGTAAGGCTGTGTAAGAGGAGAGTGTGTCTGCTCCTTTAAAGGCATCTGGTCAAGGACCTTCAATTCAACAAGAGATAATAAGAAAGGGAGGAAGCCACAAAATGAGAACATATGGGGACACAAACCTGAACAGTGAATTAGGAGGGACGTGGTGATAAGAACCAAACCTGATCAGTCACCCTAGTTGATAGGAGCATGTGGGAGTCTGAGAATGTTTATTCCAGCAAGGTTATCTGAAAAGGACTTTGTGAATTGGGAAACTAAGGGAAAAAAGGGGAAACCAGAAACAAAATATACAGACACGAGCCTGACCAAAACAAACATAGAGACCATGATAAAAAATAAACCTCACCACTCACACTAACACACAAGCTATTGAGCTACTACAGGCAGCACTTCCAGGAAGACCAAGTGTAAAAGAGGGATCCTCCCCCAATTCGGAGGAATCCTAAGAGCTGTACAGACCTGTGCAGGGGAAGAGGAACAGAGAGGGACAAGGGTGGGAATAGACAGAGAGGAGTATAGAAGAGGCTGGCCTTGTATAAAACAGGGCCAGACTGAGCTCTGCACCTGATCATCAGTGTGTCCTACCTTTTTCTATCTTCTTATTACATCTTTTCTTAACTTGCTCTCTGCATCATCTCACCGTCTATCCTATGTCTGTGTGTGCTGCGAGGACTAAGTGGCAGCTGCTGGTGAGACCTGTGCATGTGAGTGAAAACTGGTACCAGCTCTGGAGTCAGACAGAGGGTATGGGCACCCCTGGCCTATGGTGTCAGCTGCTGGAGCAAACTTTAAGCTGGACTAGCTGGTGAGCAGGTGGACCTCAGGTCCAGGCCAGGGCATCAGACAGACAGGGAGGTGCCTTGCTGGTACACCCAAGCAGACTTGTGAATGTGGAGCACCTGAGGGACAAGTGTTATCAACTGGTGTTTGCTACTGAGCATCAAGCTGGACTAGCAGGATCCATGAAGCAGGGAAGGGAGCCTGGGATCTGTGCAGGGGTGCTGGGCAGAGATGTACTGCTCAAGGGATCCACAAATGTGTACGTGCTTGTGAGCCCAGAGGGTGGCACGTGTGTTCCTGCAACAAGTGAACTTTTACTGCTACCAGAGGAGGAGAGGGACTTGCTTATGTTCGATGGGAGTCCTGGATGTAGGTGCTGTTGAATACCTCATCTGTGGCAGTCCGTGTGACCAGCCGTGTCTGTGGTATGTGCTCAGCTTTGTTACTCGTTGAGACTGCAAACTGGAAGCAGCTGTTGCATCCCTCAGCCCGGGCAGAGACCCGCCAGGCCGGGCTGCAGGGGCCAGAGCGGCTGGAAGAGGTGGCAGCACTTCTTAGATGACACTTCTTGTGTTAAACAAGCCAGCATTCACCGAATATATTTGGCACCCTGGAAGACTCAGTAAGAGCTTTCCAAGTGCTTCCACAGACTCTACATGGGAGCTTCATGTATTGACTAAGGCGTTCAGAACGACGCCTAGGCCTGAGTCACCGCGCTGAGGCAACGCCCCCCCTGCTCCCACCGCCATGGCCGCCACCCGGCTGCCCAGCCCTTAGACGACCCACCTGGGTGAAAGGGTCGCAAAACGTGGCCTCCTCGCAGCTCGGCCGGCGCGGAGGGGAGCGGAGCAGCCACTGGAGCGCGATGGCGGCGCTGCCGGACGGTCCCAACCGCCGCCAACGGCCCGCGTTGCTAGGCAACCGCCCCCCGGCGCCGCTTTAAGTTCCCGCCTTTCCCCGCCTCGCTCGGATAGGCCAGCGGGAGGCAGGGCCGTCTCGCGATTGGCTGAGCGCCCCGGGGAGGCGGGGCCTGGCGCGGAGGAGGCGGAAGCGCCGCTCGCCGCCATGAGCCGGTTCGGGGGTCGCGTTCGCGAGTACCCCGGGGTGTCCATCGACCGCTTCGCCCGCGACAACCTGCGGGCGCGCGCCTACTTCCTGTCGCACTGCCACAAGGGTGAGCCCGGCACCGTGGCAACCGCGACCCCCCGACCCCCTAACCCCCCACCCCCGAGTGACGGCCTTGCCCTGTCTCCCCAGATCACATGAAGGGGCTGCGGGCGACGGCCATGAAGAGGCGCCTGGAGGGCAGGTACGGGCTGTGAGGGGCTGCGAGAGGCTGAGAGGGGCCGGCCCGGCTCTGCCGGGGGCTGCCCCGGTGCTGCCCCAGGGTCAGGGGCGCTGAGGAGGGGGCGGCTGGTTTGAAAGCGAGGTCAGGAAACTGCTGTGGGAGTCACAGGTTGGTTTGGGTTGGAAGGGACCTGAAAAATCACCTCGTTCCAACCCCCCTGCATGGGCAGGGACACCTCCCGCTGGACCAGGTTTTTCGGAGCCCCATCCAACCTGGCCTTGAAACAATACCGGGGAGGAGGCAGCCACAGCTTCCCTGGGCAGTCTGTGCCAGTGTCTCAGCACCCTTACAGGAAAGAATTTCTCCCTGATGTCCCATCTAAATGTAGTTCCAGTTTGAAACCATTTCCCCATGACATGTCACTGTAGGCCCTGTAAAAAGTCTGTCCCCTTTTTCCATAGAGTCCTCCTTGAAGTCCTGGAAGGTTTTCCTGGAGCCTTCTCCAGGCTGAACAACCCCAACTCTCTCAGCCTGTCTTTATAGGAGAGGTGTTCCAATCCTCCAATCATCTTTGTGGCCTCCTCTGGGCTCATTCCAACAGCTCCCTGTCTATCTTGTACTGAGGACCCCAGACCAGACACAGTGCTCTGGGTTGGGTTCCACTAGACTAGAGTAAAGGGGCAGAATCCCTTCCCTTGACCTGCTGGCCGTGCTTCTTGTGATGCAGCCCTGGAAACAGTTGGCTTTCTGGGCTGCAAATTCACTTCAAGTCCAGCTTTTCATTCACCAGTACCCCTGAGTCCTCTGCTCCCAATCCCTGCAACCCACAGTCCATGTTGGTATTGCAGATTGCCCCATCTCAGGTGCACGTGGCTTGTTGAACTTCATGAGGTGTATGAACTCCACAAGGATCCTTGTTGCTGTTACTCCCTCGGAGTGTGTTGGTGCATGGAGATAGTGATGGCCTGTGCTGTGGAGGAGGGCAGCTGCACTAAGAGGGGTATGAGCAACCAGGGAGCTGGCAGTTCGAGGGAGACAGTTATTCCCTCTCTGGTCAGGGCTTTGTCTAGAGTACTGAGTCCAGCCTTCGGTTCCCCTGGGCAAAAAGCAGTGTTGGTATTTTGGACCAGGACCACAAAGCTGGTCTGGGGCTGGAGCATATGATGTATGAGACGCAGCTGAGAGCTGAATATCTTCAGCCTCAAGAGTAGGACACAACTGTGTATCACTGTTTGCAGGTAGGGGTAGGTAAGATGGAGCCAGACTTCTTGCAGGTGCATCACAAAAGGGCAAGGGACACCTTTTCTTTTTCACCATGTGCATGGTCAGAGAGGGGAATGGGCCCAGAGAGGCTGTGGGCCAGTTCCTAGACACTGTTGAAGTAGATATTGCATCTCCTCAAATGTGATCAGAGAATCTCTCTTTGCATGTCAGGTCTCAGTGCACTCTGCTAAAGCTTTGTAGGAAGTATTCTGTGGTCTGCTGAATGCTGACTGTCCCAAATGCCCATTCCAGAGAAAGCATGCAAATCTGAAACAGACCTTGGTGGGCATGGAGGCAACAAAGATCTGTGTACATGTGACCACAAACCACACGTTCTATAAAAATATGAAGTCACAGGCACACATCGGTTAGTCTTTGGGTTTGCTGGGTTGAGGAAAATGCATCTGAACAAGGTGGAGTGATTTATTTTGATCCCACTGCAGGCTGGAGCAAAAGTGCTCCTGCAGGCTGACTGCTCTGCAGGTATCTTCAGATAAGAGAGAGATCTGAGCAGATGTTTTGATGTAGCAGGTGCCAGGTGCTGATGTGTTGTTAGATTGCTCCCTGCCTATGCTTTGAAAAACACTCATCTGTGTTTTTTTGTCTCTTCACAGTTTGAAAGTTAAATTATATTGCTCACCAGTAACTAAGGAACTGCTGCTGACTAGCTGGAAATACAAGTTTTGGGAGAATCACATTGTAAGTTTTAGTTTATTTTTCAATTATCACTTTCCAAACAGTGATTCTAGGGAAAATGGAGCTTTCCCTCCTCAGTAATGTCTGAAGTGTTGGTGTTGATGCAGTGTTTCAGGGCTTAAGTACCTACCTCCTGTGTCTTTCCTTGCTGCTTGTCCTGTAGGATTGGTTTATTGTTGTTTATGTTTGATCTTATTTTTCCCTCCACAAAATTTATCCTTTTCTCTCAACTTCAGCTTTAAACATCCTCCATCTGTACCTTGGTCATTTGTATCACTCCTTCCTTTCCTTTCCTGCTCATATCTCTTTGCTCCTGCTCCTGTCCTTATTTCATTTCCCTTTTGTGTCATTTAAAGTATTGTATTGCCTGGAGTATGTATAATCTTTAGATATATCACTTTCCTTTAGCTTTTTGGAATATGGACTATCCTTAACATGAAAGAACTTCCTTAATTTACTTGATTTCCACTGTTTAGGGTCAAAATTCCAGGGATCAGTGGTCATGTATATGCGTGACTGGTAGTTACTTATTTCCTTCCCTTTGCAGGTGTGAGCTTTGAGATTGAACTTGTTTCTTTTTACATCTTAATGTATGTACATACATAATCAAATAGTGTAAGGATGTTACAGTCTCCTGTCCCAGTCAAGGACAGGAGAGTTTTCTAATTAAGTCAGAGGTCAAGAAGAACTTCAGACAAGGTGAAATTTGTTTCCTTGAGGGAGTTAAAGCTCAGAGTTTCTTAGAATAGCTTGTAAGTGTGAGTCATATCCAAAGAAGCTCATATGAGTGGGACCTGGGGGGTAACTCTGGGTAAGAGAAAAAGGAGAAGGAGGGAACATCTCTGTTCAAGGTCCTAGTTTAATTGTGAAGCTGAGGGAGAAAAATAACTAGCTTTATATGAAGCCTTGAGCAATGGAAAGATTTATTGATTTGTAGCATAAGTATGATCCAGGGCTCTGTAAAAAAAGACTGAACAGCCCTTAGGCATGTTTGATATGTGAAGGAGCACAGTCTGTGTAGGTAACAGTGTTTCTAAGCCTGTCAACTTCTTGGACTAGCAGAAATAAAATGAGGTGGGTTTGTGGTGGCTTTTTTGTTGGTGTGGGTTGTTGGATTTTTAACATTCTTGTTTCTAAGCCTGTGTGTGTTTGCTTCCAGTATCCCTTGAAGTTTAACCTAGGAGAAGAGGTTGCTTGCAGGGAGATGTCTGTAAGCTGTTAGGAGTCTGTATGAGCAGTAAAAGGGAAGTAGTCAGTGCTGGTCCTGACATCCCTGTTTAGGAAAATCTTAATCTGAGAAGAGATACCAGGAGTACCAGTACTCCTGGTACTGTCTAAAATGAAGCACAATTAACACAAATCAACACAATTAAAAACATAGATGTTTGCAGCTGCAGCTCCCAGGAGTGACTGCTGGGAATGGCATGAGCTGCACAGGCCTTAAATCCCATAATAGCTATTAAGTGTCTTGTTCACAAGCTTTTGTCTTACAATAAATAAGCTTTCAACTTGTAGCATGTCTGGGAAATGAATTAACAGCTGATTTGATATTCACCAGACTGAAAAAAACAATCAAAATGTCAGCTTCCAGACAAATGTTTTTGTGATTACCAGTCTGACTTTTACTTGTACTTACAGCATAGGAGGCTTTTTGAATCTGCTGCTGGCTTCAACCTTTAAACTATTAAATATGAGGGGAGAACTCTGCTGGAGATATTATCACTTATGGATATAAAGCTAAACTGTGGCTGTCAGTAAAGAATTCTTCAGATTTTTAGATCTAAAACTTGACAATTGTTTCACTACAGTAGGAAATTAGAGAATTACTGAGAAAAGTGAGCATGCAGAATTTAGATCAGCCTCTTCAACTTGTTCTGCTTCAGAAATTGTAGATGAAAAAAATTAGTATTGATGTTTAAAAAATCAGCTCTTTCTAGTTTCTTGAATTCTGAACGTAAAATAGTTTTTGACACACATATCTCTATTTTGAAGCAACTTCTGAGTTTGATTGGTGTTGTGGTTTCTGGTGGAGAAGCCCAATGTTAGCAGCTTTGTGTGAGTACCAGCTGAATGGATCTCATGAAGCTGCCCAGAAATACGTGTCAAGATGTCTTGTGAATTCATCTAGTGCTGTGAAACCCAAGGTGCTGAGGAGACTGCTCAGCTGTGAAGCTGGAGGTTATACCTGAGGAGGATAATGACAGGAGGCTTGCCTTTCACTTTGGCTTTCTTGGGCAGGAGAATTATATACGAGTATTATCTGAAATTAAAAATAAACAGGAGGTTGGGAGAGGAGCCTGCATAGCAGTGCTAAGCTTGCAGGTGGCCACAGAACATGTGTGTTGCAGGACTCTTTTGGCAGAGGATATGGCCAAACAGGGGATTAAGTGTGTTCTGGACATTATTCACCTCTAAATGAACACAGAAATGTGTCCTGTATGTGATTTGTGGGTTCTGCTTCTGGTAATAGGGAACAGTGTGGAGAAGGGCTGCAGCACAGAGGTCTGTCCTAGCAAAATCCTCTCCTGTCTTCTGGAATTGGGATGCCTTGGGCTTTGCAGTCAGCCAAAAATAAGGCTTGTGATCCAGGCAGAGAAGCCAGAACTGTTGCTGTTTAGAAGTCCAACATGTTACAGTTTTTTAAAGCATGCACACTTTGATTGAGGTATCTCCATTTCAACTTTCCAAAAACTTTTTTTCCTCTGGAAATGGAAATTCATTACTTTACTGTAGGAAAATGAGCTCAATTTTACAGGTGTAGCATGAGCCACAGTGGGTGCTGAAGATGTCTACCAAATGAATACTTGACCATAAGCATCACAGTACATGTTCAGTAAACCCTTTAATACATTTATTGATTTTGTTACAGGTTGCATTGGAAGTTGAAACTCCAACTCAGATTTCTTTAATAGATGAAACATCTGGTGAGGTAAGTAACAAAAATAAAATAAAATTAGTGTATTTGTAATGGGCACTAATACTGTTTAAATGAGCATGGGAAACAGATCTTACCTGTAACATCCCAAGTGGACAAGCTATTTTTAAAATGTATGTTCCCCTTTCTCTCCAAGATGTGCAGCCACATGAATTATTCCCTGCTTTGTCCTTATTATCACAGTGTTTCTTTGGTGATGTCTTAGTGATGTATTAGTGATCTCCAGTTTACCTACTGCTCTTGTGATTTCTTTCACTTTGTGTTTCCTGGTGTATTTCAAGAAGTTTTAAGTGCAGGACTTAAAGGTCTGGTAGAGCATCTCCAGGCAAAGTGTAACCCAAGATATTTCTGCTGTGCTTGTTCATGAAGAACCAAGGAAGTAGGACTGTCTTCTAGCTGAGGGGCTTTCTTGAGCACCAAACAATATTCAGTCATCTCTTCTAGCATGACAAAGATGGTCATTGCTCTTCAGGGCTCTTTGGAATAGGAAGAAACTTTGTTCAAAAGCAATGTTAAATGCTGCAAGAGACTGTGGGGAGTAACACGTTGCTTTCACTGTGTCAATGAAAGTACTGGTAGTACTTAGTAAAGGTGTAAAAGTAATGCTAACCTATCTCTTCTAGAAAGAAGATATAGAAGTGACACTTCTACCAGCTGGTCACTGTCCAGGATCAGTCATGTATGTCCTTTCCATACTCTAAATGTCTCTGCTGAGAAATTTGTTCTCTGGAGTTCTCACTAAGTACTGTTTTTTTTCAACTAGAGAAAGCTAGTGAATATAAAAATCATCCTTGGAGATAATATTGTTGTGGCAGGGCTCACCAGCTTTGGTCAAGGTTGAAAAATCACTGTACTATTTGGGATCTCTCCAGACAGAAGTTGTTACCTTGGTGGAGCAGATTAGTTTTCCCCACGCCTATAAATAACAACTTTCTGGATTTCAGCTCTACTTAAAAATGACATACAAAACCCTGATAAAAAAAAAATCCTCCATTTCTTAAGTATGACTTTAAGAAAAAGGTGCCCAGCTTCCTGGTACAAATGCCTAGTAGATTCCTTTGGCTGCCACAGACATCTGAGCTACCTGCACAGAACCTGTAAGGCTTTTGTCTTCAACTGTGACCAGCCCAGGCACAGGTTTCTTTCAGTCTGAATTATTTGGTGTAACTGAAATTACTTGAGGACCAAATGGAGTCCAGTGTTTCCATTACATCATACAGTCCTGTGGGCTGCTCTGAGCAAGGTAACAAATTGACACCTGGTATTTAATGCTTTTTATTGTTGAGTTTGACCGTAGTGTTTCTTCTTGTAGGTTTTTGTTTGAAGGTGAAAATGGCACTGTGCTGTATACAGGGGATTTCAGGCTTGCAAAAGGAGAAGCAGCCAGGATGGAGCTTTTGCATTCAGGGACTAGGTGAGGCTTCAGTTGTTCATGGGGTTTAGAAAGAATGAAAGATCACACTGGTACGGACAATTTTGAAATAATGTACTCTTGTTCCTCATTTTTTATTCTGGGCAGTCAGACAATGCTAAACTTACAAGCCCCTTTTGACTTGGTCTTTGTAATAAAGAGGAAGAATTGCCTGCTTTTGAAGAGAGGAAGTGGAATGTCTTAGTTGTGTGATGAACTGCTCACTCCGGTATAACATCTCTCTTTCAGAGTAAAAGACATCCAGAGTGTGTATTTGGACACCACTTTCTGTGATCCCAAATATTATCATATACCAAGCCGGGTAAGTGTAAATAAGCTGTGAGAGGCAAGGTCCTAAAGCCACTTATTAATTAACACCTCCTTGTGGTTAATCTTGAAAGGCAATGCCATTTTACATTACCAAGTCACAGCAAGTTGCAAGGATCTTGAAAGAGGATTCACAACATTTTCTGAACTTTTCAGGAGGAATGTTTAAGTGGGATCTTGGAGTTGGTGCGAAGCTGGACCTCACTGAGTCGCTATCACGTGGTGTGGCTGAATTGCAAAGCTGCTTATGGATATGAATATTTATTCATAAACCTCAGTGAGGAGCTGGGATTCAGGGTAATGTTTCTGTAATTGTTGCTTTAAAATAGGTCCTCAGGAATGAGTGTGGCCAGTCATCAGGCTGGAAATTGCTGTTCAGAGGACTGCCATGTGTGAAAGATACTCATGCTTTTATTAACTTAAAAAGCTATAGTTGTGCTCAAAATTAATTAACTAGTTGATTTTTGTCTGGAACATCTGGGCACTCCAGGGAGAAGTCAAGCCATGGTTTTTCGAGTTTACCTCTCTCCCTTTTATCTCATTAATGACAAAAGCCTTCTCATTTACATATGCAATTGTTAGGAGATACAGTCTTACTTTATTTGATGATTATTCATCCCTCAGCATAGGAGTTATGTTCTGCTAGTTCTAGACATCCAAGCGACTTGGCAACACTTACCCCATTATGAGTGGATAGTAATCAGAGAATCACAGAATCCTAGGGGTTAGAAGGGACCTCGAAAGATCACCCAGTCCAACCCCCCTGCCAGAGCAGGGTCACCCAGAGCACATCACACAGGAACATGTCCAGGTGGGGTTTGAATGTCTCCAGCGAAGGAAACTCCACAGCCTCTCTGGGCAGCCTGTCCCAGGGCTCTGTCACTTTCACAGGAAAGAAGTTTTTTCTGATATTCAGATGGAACCTCCTATGCTCCAGTTTGCATCCATTGCCCCTTGTCCTATCACTGGTCATCACTGAAAAAAGCCTGTCTCCATCCTCCTGACACTCACCCTTTACATATTTGTAAACTAATTTAGTGGTTGAAATGCCTGCCAGCATTTATTGAGAGCAGAACCATATCTGCATAGTCCCTCCAGCTGCCAATGGGCAAACACATTGAGCTAACTGAGAGTAAACTCTGCTTTTCTCTAGGTGCATGTGAACAAACTTGATATGTTTAGAAACATGCCAGAAATCCTCTACCATGTCACTACAGATCGACACACTCAGATTCATGCCTGTCGACATCCTCGGGTGTGTATCACCTCACAAAGCCTCTGCCAGCCTAGCTGGGAAACAGTGGTTGTAGGTGCTGATGGTTTGGTCCTGTTGTGCTAATGAAGATTCAGGTCAAATGGTAGCTTGATGACAGTGGGAACTTCAGTTAGTGGGTGGGCATTGCTAAAAAGAAAAAGGGAAAATGTCTTAGTTAATGCTAGAGATAGTTTAATTATATTTGAAACTTGAAAAGTATATTTTTAAATGAAGTAAGACAAGCAGCAGATTAGATCAGTCATGTATTATCCATGTAAATATATCAAAAGCAGCTCATCTAGTGTCTCCTGCAGCCACGCACTGTGTTTGTGGTGTGTGGCCTTCCCTTTCCAGGATGTCTGTCAAGCTGAAGGCTCCAAATTGGAAGAGTACAGGTAGAACTGGGGATGGTATGTTGGGACATTGGTCTTTCTGATGGATTTCCTTTGTCAGCTGCACTGTGGAAGCACAATGAAAGAGCAAAGAGTGTTTCGAAGGAGTTGGAAGTGAGAGGAAAACTTGGTCTAGCTAGACACTACATGGCTGAATTTCTTTGGGGGGAAGAGGTCAGGATTGCACTTTATATTGTGTTTGACAGGATGATGAATGCTTTCGAGGGAACAGACTGCCCTGTGGGATGACTTGCCAAAATGGAACTCCCTTGCACATAATCAGCATCAAACCCTCCACTATGTGGTTTGGAGAAAGGAACAAGAAAGGCAGTGTAATAGTGAGGTGAGCATTTGGGCCGTGCAGAAACCTGTATGTTGCCTGGTGCTTCTACAACTGAATCTCAAAATGGACTTTTTTAAAAGTAGACTATGCTTGTCTCTACTGAAGGATGAGGAGCAGATACTTAATTTTTTCTTTTTTTTTTTTTTTTTTTAGGACTGGAGAGAGTACATACAGAGCTTGTTTCTCTTTCCACTCTTCATACAGTGAGGTTTGTATACTTGTAGTACTGAGTATACATTGATTTAAAAAAAAAACCAAAACAGCAAAGGGTTTTTTTTTCATTATTTTGGAGTGGATGACATGACTTGTCACAATTAAAAAAAATATCTTTTCAGTAATAAGACATAAGGGGATAGGAAGTTTTGGATCCTGAAGAAGTTTGCTTTAATATAGCTGCAGAAGAGCTTCTTAAGGGAAGGCAGAATTATGAGCCTATTTTTTTGTTCTCTCTTCTTGAAGTGTTGGTCACTGCTACAATTGTTTTGACTGCCTTTCTATTTTAGATTATTGCCTAACTGTGAAATGCTTAAAGCGTGGCATTTTGGTTTTCAATACATTATCTGCTGTGACTCAGTTTTGGGTGGGTTTGCCTTCTTCTCCCTGCCCACATGTTTAAACAGAATTTTCTCAAATACTAGCTGCCCCTGTTACTTCTCTTTCTGTGTTAAAGACTAAAATGAAATTTGTCATGGCAGCATCCTCTCCACAATCACACACTTACATTTAATATGACTCAATCCAGTTCTTAAAATAATTTCTCTCCTAAGAAACTGAACTGAAGCTGGATCAGTGCTAACAATTAACCTGTCACAAAGCCTTGTACCTACAAAACAGAGATTATTCAGAGCCCTAGGAAGACAGTCCTATTTTTAAGATCCTGGTTAAGTTTTAATTTGTTCTGCCATGCAGAATTTTCAATGAAGGTGCTAGTGTAGTAGATACAACATGGTAGCTTTGCTGGCATAACATGGGGGGTAGGGTATTGTGGCAGACTCGTACCTCCACTTGTAAAAATAAATGGGTCCTACTGGTCCGTATAGATAGGAGTGTAATCTGAAAAATTGCAAGTGTTTTCAGTGCTTCAGTGCTCAGCACTGATAAAGCCTCAGCTAGAGTGGAGTGCCCCAAACTGGACACAATTCTTCAAGAAATTTACTGTCTGGAGAGGATCTAAAAGTCAACAGAGTAAAGCTTGGAAAAATGTTGTGTTTTGTCATAATGGGCTTTTATTGTGGGCTGAAGTTAGACTTTAGGAAAAGTCTTTGAGGAAGTTAATAACTGGGCTGCACGACTAGGGACTTAGAGTCCAGTAAGAAAAATACAGGTCTGAAAAGTTCGAGAGCAGTAAGGACAGAGAAGCACTGGATCACATTCCCTAGAAAAGGTCTATCCAGCCTTCTCTTTCAGAGCTAGTGATGGTCTGTGTAGCAGTTGATAACTGCTGTGAGGTGGTTAGATGGGACTGAGTTCTCAGCATCCATTCAGTTCTGTTTTCACAGCCATCCACTTTGGTCCATGGATTGTGTTGGTCTTCACATGAGTGAACTGGTAGTACTTCTTGTGGGTGAACTTTAATCAGTGCTGTCCTCCAGTGAAATTATGAACTCTTGATGTAACTTGTTAAACTGCTTCTAATTTTCTTCCATTTAGATTAAGGATTTCCTGAGCTATATCTGTCCTGTGAACGTGTATCCCAATGTACTGCCACTGGGTGGGACAGAAGACAAAGTTATGGAAATGTAAGTAACAAGTGGCTGCTGAATGGAGCTGATCTCCTTGCTGTTCTGGTAAGGACAACTTCAGCCTCTCAAGCAAGCCACTGTCTTTTGCTTTACTTGTCTCATAGTTCAGATATAATTTTTTTTCTGCATTAGTCCTACAAGCTTCAGCTTTTTGAAGAACAGTTGTCTGTTAAGTCTGAGAGTTTGTGTTCCACACCCAACTTATATCTGCATCTAGAGTCTTTTCTGCTGTTAAACGCTTTTTGGGTGGAATCTGAACACATGTTCATATCACGTTATCTGGTGACCCCTATTTCTATTTGTCATTGCTACTTCTTGGAAATTTCTTTTGAAGAGAATTTCTCTGAGGACTTGAACCTCTTGCCCTCTGTGCAGCCTCACTGAGGTCTGATCTCATGTGCTGCTACAGATGCTGGCTTTTAGGGAGCAGGAGAGCAGCAGTGTCCCTCAGCCTAAACAAAATGAGGGCTTGTTTCTTTGTTCCTTTTTCTTTTCTTCCTCAGTAAGAAAGGAGATACTGTGCAATTATGGAATAAGCAAGGCACTAAAAGATCATTTCCAAATGGTGTACATGGTGTAAAGTAAATATATACAAAGATAGTTGTCTACCTTTAAGCTGCTTAAGCTTACTAATGATTTAAGAACTTTTCCCTAGCTACAGCTGCCTGTGCTTTAACCCTTTTGTCACAGTTCCTGTGAAAGGCACCAAGCAGTGCATTTAGGTAAAAAAAGAGGATCTGCCAAGTTCTAAATATTAATGGCTTTTCTCATTCACCTCAGTTTAAAGCCATTATGCAGGTCCTACAGGAGAAACATGGAACCCAGGTACAAGCCCTTAGGAACACTGAAGAGAGTCCACAAGAGAGACTCATCTGATACAGGTAAAGGTTCTGCTGGTTCTGCTGTGCCTTACATGAAGGTCTGAGACTAAGCAGAGGTGCCAAAGGCCACGGTGTGCACCATAGTCTGTGTTCAAAGCAACAGCTGAAATATTGGTTAAGTGAACTTAGGTTTTAGGAGGGTGAGAGAGCATTAATTATGTAAAATTGCACTTTTTTGTGATCTTAAAAAACACTTAATGCTTAACAGCCTTTTAAATTTCTGGAAGAGTTCCATCCCACAGTCCTAGACCATCCCTGATAAAGCTGTTTCTCTAACAGAACTTTTATCACCTCTAATGTTGGGGAGGATGAAGTGCTGCACCAGTGGAATTGTTCCTCTTACCTCCCACTGCTTTTTAGAATCCAGCAGCTTTTTAAATTTTCAGTGGTAACTGGAAGCTGTACAGAGATAGCATCTGGAAAGCCACTTGGGACCTAGAAGACAACTTTGGGCCTGCATTCTCTTTGGCTTTTCTGAAGTGCCAAGTACTCCAGGGTGATGTAGTCCTGGCAAAACACATCAGAGGCCTGAATATATGTGTCTGCCAGGGCTACATTGACCTGCTTATTTGGAGGATGGCAACTGGCAGCTTGCCTGGTAAGGTGCTGTGCTGAACAAGGCAAAGGCTGTCAGTAACACCCAGTAAGTCTTCATCTGGGTTAAAGAACTTTTTCCATTCTTCATTCTAAATGATTTTTTTATGACAACTTTGCTCTCAACAGAATTTTATTAGGGATCTGAACTTTCTAAGTGTTGGTTTTGGGGTGCTTTTTTTTTTTTTTATGCTCTTGACAGATGAAGATGACCTCTTTGATGCAGAATCAACTTCTGCAAGGCCTAAAATTCCAAAACAGCATAGGGAAGAGAGCAGGCCCTCCAGAACAGGACAAGCTGAAAATGCTGAAGGAAACATTAATGAGAGCAGAGAAAGTTACAAAGCAACCACAGCTTACACCTCCCTGAAGGTAGACTTCATGGACTGTGAGGAATCAAATGATGATGATGATGAAGATGATGATGAAGAAGAATCTGAAAAAAATACATCTCAAGTTCTTTCCCCTGAGACAGATGCCACTTCCACATCAAATTTTAATGGAGGAACTAGTGACCAACAGGAGTCTAATGACAACATCCCTCGCTGGGATACATTTTTTAAGTGTAACAAACTAGAAGAAAGCTCTGAAAATGAGGACAACTTCCCATCTTCAGCAGATGCTGGTGGGTCCCAATCACTCTTCAGTGATTCAGATGGAGTAAGTGACTCAACACACATCTCCTCCCAAAATTCTTCTCAGTCAACTCACATCTCAGAGCAGGGGAGCCAGGGCTGGGATAGTCAAATGGACACAGTACTCATTACCTCCCAGGAGAGAAATGCCTTGGACATGAGCTGCTTCAGCAAAGGTGGGAGCAGAACAGTGGTTTCTGCATGGCAGGACACTGCCAAGGACAGTCAACCTGACAGCAGTAGGTGGAAGCCATTGGGTCAAAACAGACCTTGTGCCCATGTTGTTGTCTGTGACTTGAAAAGCAAAGACTGTGAGAAAGACGCAGAAACTGCCACTGGTGACATTCAAGATGTGTTGGTGGAAGTAAGTGACAACCCCAGGACTCCTGATCCAGAACTGATGAGAGACTCCCAGAGCTCCTCTGACTTCGAAATTCCCATGACTCCTGGTGCTGAAGCACCTAAGCCAGATAAGCTGTACTGTTTGTATCAGAAGCTAGCAGCAGGAGAATGCATACTCAGTGAAAAAAAGGGCTCCTGAAGATGGGCAGAACTGATGGACATCACAGTACACTGGAATCTTTATTAAACCCTGAATTCTTTTTAATGCCAAATACTATCTGCAGCTATGCTAATTCATGCAATTTTTTGCAGAAATACCTCCCTGTCAGTACTAGGAATTTGCAGCCTGTGTAACTTTATTGTTCCCTTCATGAAAACTAAGGATTTCTAGGAGGGAGTGTAAAAGCCTACTGCCTCCTGAAATTCAGTTCTCCAGGACTGTAAGCAGACAAAAAAACAGACCAGACAATATTAAGGGTAGAACACTAGATTTCATTTAGTGTTCTCTTCATTGTGAGCTCTACAAGTTTGCCTTTGATATCTATGTGATCTCAGGTTTTAGGAAAATACCCCATTTAACTGTGGGGAGGAACACTACATCTTTCAGGGCCAGCCATGCAAACAATGCAATAGTTGCACTTTGATGCTGAATTTCCACTGCTTTTATTTTTTAAAAACAACTGCAGAGCAGATTAGAGTATTAATGAGAAGTTATTTTAAAAAAACACAAAAACAAAACCAAGAAAGAAATTGCTCTTTTCAAGCAATTTCAAGCTCTTTACACTGAGAAAGTGTTGTGATCAGATTTTAACTCCCAAATGAGGCACCATTGTCTGTGGTTTAAATCTAACTCCTTGCAAACAACTTGTCATCAGCTCCTTCATGTTTTGGTTCAGTCTGAATTGTTTTTCAGAACAACTTAAAAATAAAATCCTCTAGCATGTGGTTCCAGAGCCACCAGCAGGAGCTTGCTCTGAAGGTGAACTTGCAGCACTAGAAGCTGTTATCCTGGACAGGTTATGATTCTCAAGAGTCTTCTGTTACCAAGTGTCACCTCCTCTGAAATGGTCTGTTGACTTCACTGAATTAAGACATGTTTACATTTCTTTCTTTTTTTTTTTAAATAGAGACAATAGGACTCTGATTCATGTGGCTGAATAGGAGCCAACAGTGTGCTCAGGTGGCCAAGAAGGCAAATGGCATCCTGACCTGTATTAGAAATAGCGTGGGAAGCAGGACCAGCAAGGTGATCATCCCTCTGTACTCAGCATTGGTGAGGCCACAGGAGGGACATCAAGGTGCTGGAGCATGTCCAAAGGGTGATGAAGCTGGTGATGAAGCCTTGAGAACAAGTCTTATAAGGAGTGGCTGAGGGAACCAGGGCTGTTGAAGAAAAGGAGGCTGAGGGGAGACCTCATTACCTTCTACAACTACCTGAAAGGAGGTTGTGAAGAGGTAGGTGCTGGTCTCTTCTCACAAGTAACTGGTGACAGACCAAGAGGAAGTGCCCTCAAGCTGTGCCAGGGGAGGTTTATACTAGATATTAGGAAGAACTTTTTCACTGAAAGGTTTGTCAAACATTAGAACATGTTGCCCGGGGGGGGGGTGTGGTTGAGTCATTATCTCTGATGTGTATAAAAGTCATCTAGTTGTGGAGCTTGAGGATATAGCTTAGTGCTGGACTTGTATGCTTAATGGTTGGACTCAATGATCTTGAAAGTCTTTTCCAGCCCAAGTGATTCTGAGATTCTGTAGCATGTGCTCCACACACATGTGCCATAATAACCAATTCTTTTACCAAATTCTTAGATTCTAAAGTAATTCACTGCAGTGCCTACAAAAATGCCTGAACAGCAGAATCAGTCATCCAGATATCCATGAGGCTTCCCATCCATATGGTCCCAAGTCCCAAAGAATTAAACAGATTTGTAGTGACAGCTCTGAGTGTGTCTTCAGTCTTTCTGCCATCTTTAGCAATATGTAACTGTCAGACAAGCCAGGGTTTTGCTGTTGGGAACACTAGTGGGGGGGAGGAAACAAAAGGAGAAAAACTGCTATAATCTATGGTTTTAAGGTATGGTATTCAAGTCTGTGTTTCTCCACCATCCTTGGGATTTGTCAACATAATTTCCAAGCCTGGTCTATCAACTGTTGTGGGGTTTTTTTCAGCAAGCTTGAGTGAGTGAAACTGCTGTTGTAACTACCTCTGCAAATAAAGTTTTACAGATCAGAATTTCTCTGTTGCCTTGTTTCCTTAACTGTACTATATATGGCAGTTCAGGGCTGCATTTACAGTGAGTTTAAATATACAGGAACTGTCTGATTTAGGCAAGTTGACAGTGTAAATTTATGCTTTATCACCCATAAACTGAGTAGGAAACACATGACTTCCTCAGAATTGCTCCACTACAATCCATATAGTGCTAGGAAAGAAGAATTAAGAGGTTGCAGTCTTCAACTCTACTGCTCCAGCTAATTTTCACAGGCTGAATTAATTTGATTATTTTTTTTTTTTAAGAATGACAACAACAAGAGAAAAACTAAATTTCATTTATTTTATCAAAAACTATAGGAAGATAGCAACACTAGAGATCACACTTTATGAAAAGAAAATGTTCCTGAGCTTACAAACTGCATATTCCTAAAACATACATTAGAAATAACCAAAAGATTGACTTAACCTTTGAGATTAAATAGACAACAGCTTTTCTTACAGGTGATCTTGCATCTTTAGTTTTGCTACCAAGAAAAAAGAAAGTAAAATTCAACCCAACCAAAGAGAACAGGTAAAGGACAGATTACATGTTACCAGTCCCTAAGAAGTGCTTATACACAACCGAACCTGGTAGCCGTGATGATGCTAACAGACCACAAAGCAAAACAAAAGCAGAAGCTAGGCTGGTTTAGGGTCCTTAAGAAACTGAAAATAGCTTTTTCTCCTTTTCCAATTTGGCAGTTTTTCCCCGCAGACACGTAAAAACAGCAAAAGGAGTTTTCAAAGTGACACAGTGTCCAGGAAGCTGATTTGCACTGTGAGTACATAAAACAGAAAATACTGTTCAAGGCTCAAAATTGGATGCATGGGTTTACTTTGAATAAATACAAAGTACTGTTACCTCCCAGAACATAAATTAATGATCCTTTATTTATCGCACAAGAGGCAACACACATATCCTTAAAGAACTGCAGTGTTATTCCAGTGCTGGTGGTAACATTTACTGCCCTGAACAAAAAGGCAGACACTGAACTCAAGTAAAACTAGCAAGACTTATCTTTAAAATGCATTTACTTATAATTTTTAAATCAGATTGGGCATAGCTATAGGTAGAAAAAAAGCATGTCAAACCAGCCCTGTGTCATCTTGCACAGGAGAGGCCACAGACACTGATTTAGTAAGGAATCTGTTTCTCTCTGCAGCCACTCTTGCCATCCTGTACAAACAGGGAGCGCTGCAGACTGTCGTGGATTAAGGAGCTGGAGATTCCACCCACATGGAATGCATTGCTGCCTGAGGCTACATGCAAGAGAAAGCACTAGTGACTCCAAATGATATAAGGATCACTTAGAGTTTGTTAACATTAAAGCTCCACATTCCACTTCCAACTTTAGATTAAAACAAACAAAATTATTAAACAAAAAAATCATTTAGAGGTGTGACATGATAAAAATTAACTATTCATGATTTATCCAAGTGCACGGGTACAGGTGAGGGTGGCAATACCAAATACTTTTAAATCTAAGCAAACTTTCTCATATTCATTAAACAATATAAGGTATCTATTTCAACATGGATCTCTTCACCTTGTAGATTACAAACCTTACAGAGCACTTTCAGTGGCCCAGACTTGTCACCCCAACCATGAAACCAGTATGGGTTGTAGCAGAGAAAAATGTAACTTCCTGCCAAAGAGACAGATCTTCAGAGCAGATGCAACTGTGCTTCTTAGTGAACAGCCAAACTGTGTTATCCTTTGAAACACACTTTTTCTTTGGAGTGCTGGTAATTAACAGGAAATTTAAGGCATTTTCTAACAAATTAAGTAAACGGTTATAAGCTGGGTACTCAACTTCATTCACCTGAGCCAACAGCTGTGCACCTTATAAAGGTAACTAGCTGACCTATGATACATAGCGAGCATCCATTTATGGAGCACCCATTTATGGAGCAACATTATTCTGCCTGACCCTATCAACATTTACATTATTTGAAAGCAATATGCAAGTTTTACAAGCTTTTAATTCATGAGAATAAAGCACTTCAATCACTCCCGGAGCTTGGACCTTGGGTGTAACTCCATTCATAACCTACCTCAAATTGCCCTTCAGTGTTTTTGAAGCCAAGCAAAACTTAGCATACATTATGAACAGACTGAGACAACTTTTAAGACAATTAGGAAAAAAAAAAAAAAGAAGACTCCAGCAGCTGAAGAACAGTACATTTCTCAGCCTTTACATTCAAGCACATCTTACAAATGTCTACAGCAAATGGGTGAACTCAGCCCTCGTCTAACTTCACTGAAGTTAACAATTTTGCAACAAGAAAAAACAGGCCTAGTATCCTGAAAGTCTGTCACTAGATAAAAATGTCACAGTATGTAAAAACTGAATCAAAACCAGCTGTCGATACAAATCAGTTCCCAGGGCATTTTTGCACCAACACCTCTGTCAGACAATGGGCTGTTCCCCCTATTCTCTTGTTACCTATTTCCAAACTAGCCAGTAACTCATTTCAGCAATTACTGCCAAATCTCTGCAATGAAAGCAAACAAAGCATGTCACTACTGATCATCTCATATTTACACATTTTCTGTAGAACTGCAGACTTCCTGTAGCATCATAACCAAAAATCAGAACATCACAACTGAAAAAACTTCTACATAACTTCTAAATAATGTAAGGTGAGCTGAAAATACTCAAGATGTTGATCTTACATCTGGAACCTGCTAAAACCACTTGCTTTACTTGCGTGGAGTTCAATGGGCATCTCAGGATTTGTGTTCTGTGAACCTCCATTTAGATGCAGTTTGATGCCTGTCCTTAATCCTCCACCCCAGTGCCATAAATGTTATTGCTAATCTCCTGATGCTTTTCTTGATAAAACAGAAAGGCAAAAGAACTCAACTATGATATAAAACTCAAATGCCTCCAGACTTTTTCAAGGTATAGAAAATACATAACAACACTTCATCCCACTGAAATCAGTGCAAAAGGACAACAGCTCTAAGTTCCCGTTCAAATATTCATATCAAAGTACATTTTACAGAGCTTTCTTAGCATACATTTTCCTGCTTCCTAAATAACTGCTCTAAAAATCAATTTTTAATCCCCGTTATCAGTTTTGTATTTGCCTGAAACACTACATTTCTCTCTTTGGCCAATGCCATTTTGATTACAAATGCAATGCCTTGTTTTCACTGTATTTATTTACATTAGATGTAAGAACACTTGAATATATGTGTGAAAGAAGATTCTTCTTAAAACACATTTAGAAGAGAATGAAGTATTTGTGACTTTGGATACTGAAACTCAGTTGAGATAACCTCTGCAACACACAGCTCCACATTTACAGACAGTTCTGATCCTCTTTTTGGATGGGCTAAGACCATCAGCAGAGTCTGAAGTCAGATCTATTGAACCTGTGAGATAGAGAAACACAAATAAAGAAGTTTTAAAATACAGACTGAAACTGTGCTAGGTAACATTGGCTTCAAAAGCCTTTGACCACCCCAACTCTTAAAAGAACTATGTGTGAAGCTGCACTTGAATTCTACCAACACTCACGTTACAAGTACATACACATCACCCAGCACACATCTCAGATCCAAAGCTCAGTGGTCTGTGTCTATACTGGTCAGCAGAGGCTACAGTCTGCCTTGAATGTTAAGGGTCACAGACACCATGTAAAAGAGGAGTTTTAAGGATTTGAATTTGTCAGCACTAAGAGAGCTTATACAAGAATGAGGTACATCTCTGGAGAATCAAGATGGTTCTCTGAAAACTAAATAGCAGGGCAGACAATGCAATGGTGGTGTGGGTAAACAGTTTGCACATAATGTTTGACACACACACACACCACTCCTGCCAGCAAACCTCAAGGATTTTTAATTGTATTGGAAAAAAATGTTGTCATAGAATGGTTTGAGTTGGAAGGGACCTTTACAGATCATCTAGTCTAATCCCCCTGTCGAAGGCAGGGACATCTTTCACTAGATCAAGCTGCTCCAAGCCCCGTCCAACCTGACCTTGCACACTGAGTGATCAATTCATCAATTGATCGATTTGATCAGTTACCAAAGAAGAGCTGAACAGTCCAGGATGGAAAGGACCTCGAAGAATCATCTGGTCCAACCTTTCATGGGAAAGGGAGCCTAGATGAGATTATCTTGCACCCTGTCCAATAGCCTCCTGAAATGCTTCAGTAACAGGGATTTCACCATCTTCCTGGAGAGGTTGTTCAGTGAATGAAAGCTCTCACTGTAAAAAATCTTCCAACCTAAACATCTGTACCATAGGACCTACAACCACAACTGAGGCCTACAGACACCAGAATCCAAGGACAAACCTACAGTGCTTTTAACCATTCAGCTGCTACAATTGTCTTTATACCTATCACTAGCAGATTACTTAGGTAATTGTTTGCCTGAAATACTAATTTGAACATATGAAGCCTTTTTTTATAATGATAGCCTGACCATTCTTTTGAGCACTCTTGTGACAAATCTTCAAAATAATTTGCCTTGTCAGATGTTCCAACCACAACACCTTGCTGTGAGCTAGGACCACTGAAGGAAGTAACACACCAGAGGTGCAGGCAAAAGCTTCTGGTGCAACGTGTCTGTGCAACGTCTGCTCTAGAATCCACAGAGCTGTGTAGGGAGATGCAGTGTCTGACCTGAAATGCTATCATCAGTCAGGCTGCAACAGAACCCACCAGTGCCCCAAACCTCCCACAGAACAGCATTAAAATCTGCAGACCTTTCATCTGATAGTCAAAAGTGAGCTCTTCTCCAGCCTTGATGGTTCGTGTAGAAAACAGTGCTATTCGAGGAAGACGCAAGTCGAGGTTATCAATGAAGACGTTGAAGACTTGAAGATTTGGATCACACTGTAAAGCAAAGAATTGATGCAGCTGCTGTTAGGAAATATGCACAGTATGGTTCACTGAAGTGTTCAAGTAAACCAAGGTCACAGAAAGGGAAGAACTTGTTCTCTCAGCAACAGAAGTAGTGAAATTAAGTTATCTTCAGAAGTCAAGAAACTACATACTTGAAATAGCATTAAATGAGAACACTCCTACCCTTGAGTCTGTCCAAGGCAACCTTTGCACAGTAAGCAGACTACATTAACATGCAACAATCTATTAAAAAAATACAGCACTTTCAAAAGATGACATCAAAAATATGACAAAGTAATTAAAGCCAAGATTTACTTACAAAACCACCAAAAAGAACTAAAACTGAAAGGGAAGAAAAACAACCTAGTGTTTCCAGCCACACTCACTGTTGTGCATTTATGTTTAAGACCTGCTTCCAGGCCAGAAATAGTGTTTTCATACTGTGAATAAATTTCTATTTTCAGTTGTTAACCTGCTTGGCTTCTGAATTATCTGCTATGGGCTGGGTGGCAGGAATGTCTAGGACACTAATAAGGAATGCTGCATGCTTTTTTGCTCTTAAAACAGTAAAATATATCCCAAGTTAAGGTATCAGAAGTGAAGTAAGATATTTAACTTTATATGAAAGTGTGAACACTTCACTCTCATTTCCAGAAGTGAAAAGCCATTTGCTGTAGCTAAAACTCTTCCTCATCCTTCTCCCTGGCAAGCCTACCTGAAATACAAATGTCTTCAGCTCACAGATGAGAAGACCTGAATTTACTGTATTGGAGAACACTGACTGCACACCTCACAAAGATTAAATCAGTAAGAAATAATAATTTTTAGTTCAGGAATTTTCAAAAATGCAGTTCAGCCTTTTTGTTTTAGGTACTTCAGTTGAACAGGAAAGAAAACACTTCAAAAATTTCCTGCTTAAAATATACTTTCAAGTCCTTTGGCAAGTTTAGATTTGAAATGAGGAGAGAAAAAATTATCTGCAGAGGAGAAATACCAAAAAAAGCATAGGAATTTTCATTTTTTCCTCTACCAATGGTCTAAAGGATGACACTCTTCATAGCCTGCCCTGCTACAAAATAATGCAACAATTCCTATTGTCTTTGACTCTTGACTAATTCTGTTAAATACTTCCTCACATGCTAGGTCTTTTAGTAAGTTGAAGAAAATCACACCCAAACCGCCCTTTTTGGGTTGTCTAGAATGTGCAGATTCAGTGACAGCCCCAGTCCTACCAGATGCCCACTTCAGGCAGCATCTCATTGCCAGATTTTTGTAGTTAGTTCTACTTCAAGTAAGGCTAGGTATTCCACTCCATGTATAGTGTCATCTAATTGACTGGATTGTGCTGGCATGAAACAAACTGCTCCAGAAAAAACTGTGAATATGCTAAGAAAATATTGACAGTACGAGAAGGTATTTCTGGCACAATTAGGATAATTCTCCAAACTTTTAGTATACAAAACAAGGTCTTACACTGTGATTCACAAAGTGGGACACATTTCCATATCGAGCTGCATCTACTGTAAATTCATCTGAATCATAGTCCAAATCAAACAAGTATGTAATTCCCTGGTTGTCATATAGCTGGCCTCGTCTCTCTGCTTCCTCACTTGTAATCACCTAAAAAAACAAGAGAAAAAAGATACCTGCATCATATTATTAACTATTACTAAATGAAAACAAAAATCACAATCAAGTTAGGAAAAAAAAAACATTTTACCTAGTAAAAAATACCACACTCATGTTTTGATGTTGACATAACATTCCATCTCTCATAAAAACATACAGCTAAACTAACTAGTTAGTGATTGAGGTTTCTCTGGATTCAACTTCTCTACAGCCAACACAGAGTACAACCTCATTTCAGGAAAAAAAACAAATCAGCACCTTATATTAAGAGTTTTTATGATGATAGATAGAACCAACTGTTTCTATTTGAAGTTTCTATACACACAATTTTTCCATTAGACCCAGAGAGCCTTGTTTACTTCATGTAAAATAAAGTTTCAACTTCCTCTCTTTAGACAGATGAAGATCAACAGGCCTTTAAAACCTTTACAAACACATCTACAGAGAAGTATTCTCCCTAGAAGCACCTCTTCCTGCTATTTTTAACTGCAATGAAAGAACCTTATTCATGACAACTTAGACAGACACATCGATTTCACAAAGCTGAACCTATGCAATTAGGCTAGCATGTATCAAAATGAGATAGAAATCCACAAAATCCCCAACGGAAGAGAAGAACCACAGTCAGTTCCGACAGAAGCAACAGCTTAACTTCACTGCAGCCTGTTAGGTTAAATGTATTCTGTTGTGCTGACTCAGCAATCACAATTTGGCAGCAAGACAGATATGAAATGTCGTGGAAATGGACAAAAAAAGCCCTTCAAAATCTGACAGATCAGGTTTGAGAACTTATTCAGCAGCAGGGAATAAGCAAATTGAGGAGAAAGAGAAAATACACACTAAATTATCTTCTGCAGTAGCCCCTCAACAGAGAGACAAGTGACTGACCTCTCGTATGTTTACAAGAAAGATACCAACATTAGAAAATCTGGGGCAGGAAGGATGGAGGACAAACAATAAATACATAAACATTTGTATGAAAGGACAGAAGGAATTATTTTAAGTCAGTTAGTAGCAAGGCACATTTGTGGCAGAAATACAACAGACTGGATCAGAGAGGCTGCCAGAAGCTATTGATGGAAGAAGGATTTCCTTTAAAAATACTATTAGGACACATATCTAAAATAATTATTCAGGATTATTATTATTACTACTACTACTATACTACTACTATGCAGGATAAGTATTCTCTTTACATTCAACCTTTTACAACTGCTTTGGAATATAGAACATTCTGGACAATATAATTTTTCTGTCATCTAGAATGTCTATTTATTGTCTATTATTCCTCTACACAAAAGTAGAATTGTCTCTTATATAAGAGAAGTCAAGAAGTGTTAATACTGATGGAAAGCTCATCAAGATTTCCCCCAACATTTCCTCTACTGTAAATTATTCATCTACATGAGATAAATACATACCTCTCCAACATACTCCATCACAAAACTGTTGGTTTTAATTGTCTGGAGGGTTTTTACACCCCAACCACGGCCATTGTTAGCTTTACATTCAACCTTTTACAACTGCTTTGGAATATAGAACATTCTGGACAATATAATTTTTCTGTCATCTAGAATGTCTATTTATTGTCTATTATTCCTCTACACAAAAGTAGAATTGTCTCTTATATAAGAGAAGTCAAGAAGTGTTAATACTGATGGAAAGCTCATCAAGATTTCCCCCAACATTTCCTCTACTGTAAATTATTCATCTACATGAGATAAATACATACCTCTCCAACATACTCCATCACAAAACTGTTGGTTTTAATTGTCTGGAGGGTTTTTACACCCCAACCACGGCCATTGTTAGTTCTGAAGATGCAAAGAGAATATGGTGTACCTTTCTGTACTATCCTATTAGGGCAGTCAGGCCCACACCTACAAAATGAATTGCATTCATAGATAGGCAAGCCAGGCTGGATTTTCAACTTCTTACGTTTATTGTAAGCCAAAATAAATCCAGCCTCCTTCGGACAGCACTTTTCAGCCGGGCAGTCAGCACATTCACAGCCAGTCATTATTCCATTTAATACATTTATTCCTGGAGCTGGTTTATACTCATTAATGTAGTAGAAGTCTATAGGAGGGCCTTCAAGATCCACAGTGTTTTCTACCAGAATCATTGCTTTATGGTTCTTTTTCCTGTTGAGTTCTTCTTTCCATCTCTTCAGAGCTATTCTTTGCTTAGCTTTCCTTACAATGTAATCTGTAACTGCTGGTTTCAAAGCTTTAAGGTGGTTTCTTAATTTCAGTGCTTTGCCTTCTCTCAATCGAGACAGGTATTCATCCCTGTCACTAAGAAAGTTCTGAAGAAGCAATGGGCAATTCAGATTTTTCTGAGGTTCCCAAGTATTTGAAGATTCTGGCCATCCTTTCCATTTCACAAGATAGTATTTTGTGCCCTTGAAATACAGAAACAGAGATTTAGCCACATTTCATCTTGCTGAAATTCAGTATCACAGAGCACACAGACAAACACAAAAGAGCTCTGGAGTTAAGAAATGGCATCTAGAGCTGAGCATCTTGATGTCCCCATAACAAATAAACAGCTGGGATGAACTCTGATCCCTAATGCTATACCTGGAGGAGCCTAGTTTGTTAAACCTGTTCAGTAAGTTAAACTAACTAGTTGTATTACTCTTATGCATATGCAGAATGTAGTTGTATAACACAGAGAACAAAAAAAATATTCTAAACTCACTGAAAAAAAACACAGAACCCACTATTTGTCATAACAACCATCCTCTCAAAGGAGTACTCAAATTCAAAACACAGAATTTTGTACTTATAATCAACAAGCATACGTTTTTTACTTCTTTTTAAAAGGCCAAATAACTGTAACAAGGCCAAATCCTGAAACTGAATATCACTGGCATGATCAAGCCACAGGAATCCAGCTGCAGCACGTGGCCCTAACTCTTCATTAAACAGACTACAGCAGTCAGGAGAGAAATACAGACTGTTACCTGCAAATAAAGGAGAAGCATCATAACAAACACCAAAGCTACAACCAAAAAGCAGCAGCATTTTGCTTTACTTCTACATATGCAAAGGCAAAACATTTCATATTCTGTTATCTCCGCATTTCAGAAAAAGACCTTCCTGCAACATATTGACAGCAGTGTTTATCCTGCTGCTTACATTTCAAAGTTTAAAAGGTATTTCATTCAGTAACAGCAAGAGCTTAGTCCTCACATCCTGCTACTTTATATTAATCAGGAAAGCTACCTTTGGCTCGCTTCCAAATTTCAGCTGAAAGAGTGACCAAATTGGTCTGTGTTTCTCTTACCTCTTCTACCTTGTAGTCACACAAATATTCCACCTCATATCTCTTTAGACTCTTGTTGGTGATTCCAATGGCTTTACATCTGAGATTTTCCTTCCTACATAATTCTTGGAGGGTCTCAATTGAAGCTAGACATGGCACATACCAAGCTACAATAAGAAAATTGGTAAAGAATCCTATTTAATGTCTCAGCTAAATGGAAGTCATTATGCCCTATCCCAGAGTCCCCATATTATCATTTCTGATGGCAGTCCACGAGCCTCCTGTATGACTACGGCACCTCATGGAGTCCAACTCAACGGGTAAAGTGAAACACATTAACGATTCCCTTCCTGCACTTTGACTCTGAATGGTACGTACGTTTATAAAAAGAAAAAAACACAAATATTTTGGAGTGCAGAGACTTCCACACGCGAAAGCTGCAGTAAGAACCGAGCAATTTTCCTACAATTAAAGCATCCCGTAACTGGACCACGGCGAGAAGGAAACCTCCATTCTTTAATAAGACCGCCAAATAGCTATAGTTAGCCAAGGGGCATGGAGCACTCGCGATGCAACCACGGTGACTGGGTGAGGAAGGAAAAGCTCCAGCGCGACTCTTCCAGAAGGATCGCGGGTGCCCGCTCAGCGAGGCGGGTTTTAAAGGGACGCGACACTCGGCGGAGCGGCACGGCAAGGGTGTCGGCTCCTGCCAGAGCCCGGGAAACGCCGGTGGGATGAGATCCAGAGCAGCAGCCGCGCGGGACGAGCCTTCCTCCTCCTCCTCCTCCTCCTACCGAGCAATTTTCCTACAATTAAAGCATCCCGTAACTGGACCACGGCGAGAAGGAAACCTCCATTCTTTAATAAGACCGCCAAATATCTATAGTTAGCCAAGGGGCATGGAGCACTCGCGATGCAACCACGGTGACTGGGTGAGGAAGGAAAAGCTCCAGCGCGACTCTTCCAGAAGGATCGCGGGTGCCCGCTCAGCGAGGCGGGTTTTAAAGGGACGCGACACTCGGCGGAGCGGCACGGCAAGGGTGTCGGCTCCTGCCAGAGCCCGGGAAACGCCGGTGGGATGAGACCCAGAGCAGCAGCCGCGCGGGACGAGCCTTCCTCCTCCTCCTCCTCCTCCT